TGGGGAGCCACCACCCCCCCCACCCTGTACCTCTGGACAACTTGCCCCAGCCCAGGGGCCCCATTCATCCCAGTCTCTGCTTCTGCCCCACTCCTTTGCTCACCGGGGGACTCGATCTCTCCCCCCTGACCCTTCCCCTCCATTTACCAGCTGGGTGCTGTCTGTGTGTCTGTCTCTGTGTGTCTGGTTCTTGCTCCCAAGCCACAGCTCTGCTGCTGCCTCTCATTCCTGACCCACAGTACTCCGGCATCCTGCCAGGGTGTGCGGGGCCCCTACCTCTCTGGGCTCCAAGCCCCCCCCACACACCCACAGGCCCCCACACCTTCACAATAGCGCCCACACACACACACTTCAAAAGTAGCAACTCATGATTTACATGCCAGTCACCTGATTTTTACATAGTTTGTCTCATGATTTTTGGCATGGTGGGGTTGACAGTACTGTAGTTTTGCAAACACGCATGTTGAGTCCATGACTCAAAGAGGTGCACCTTATAGACTAACTGAATCAGAGATATGCAATCATCTAATGAAACCCACTTCACAATTGCTCATGAAAGCTTATGCATCTCTGATTCAGTTAGTCTGTAAAGTGTACTCTGCCTTCTGCCTGACTTCAGATTAACATGGCTAACTACCTGTCTCAGTTAAATATGTACTTAAGTGTTCTCCTGAATAGTCTCATTTTCCTAAAGAGGGTTCGTAATTAGCATTCATTGGTGCTGATCCTATTTTTTGCTTTTCTTGAACATTTCTTATTGTGCTAAAATTTGTGAACTTTGTGAACATTACTTAAATGTGCATTTTCCAGTTTTACCTAATATACTCTTCCCAATCCAGTGAGTATTGGGACTTAGAAATCTGTTTACTGAAACAGATATAACCCATGTGCAACATAAGTAGTCACTATCATCTTGCAGAGAAATTTATGAATTTAAGAATAATCACTAAAGTTTGTTGCGGTTTTGTGATAGATTTTTACAGGGACTGTATTCAGTCTTTTATTCAAAATATAGTCAATTCATTCCTCGTGATCTAGATTATCGCATGTAAATCTGTGTAAATCCATAATAATTCTGTTTTCAGCAGACTTGTTTAAGAATTTGAAAGTTATGAAACTGAGGAGATTGTTCTCCTCACATTTACTTTGGTTTCTTTGGAGGGGTTAGGGGGGTTTTACGTCAAAACTCAGTGTTTCTCTTTCTTACATAAGGGACCTGAGCAGATTTGAATTACAAGCATGGGGGAAATTCAAATGTTACAAGGGTTCAAGAGACCCAAATGAAATTAAGAGTTCTCACTAAAAATCAGCTGAAATTAAATTCTCCTCTGTTCCCAGCACCCCAAATGACTATTAGGATAATTATGCTCTAGCTTTTAACTCCAGTTAAGGTGATAGGGGGCAGAACCCTAAAACTCCCCTAAATGCAGACAATGGCCAAATCCAGGGTAGAACAAATTACAAAGCAGAGGCTGTACGTCAAAAATACCTTGTCACCCACTCCTAGGTTTCAGCATTGGAGCCTAGCAGTGACACCTTTCCACAGAAGATGCATGTGGAAGGAGTTGGGCTCTGAGATTGGATAACCACATACTAATAGGCTTAGTGCCTGCAATAGCAGAAAAACACTCCATGACAAATGGTTCTCCATCTTATTTCTGGAGGAATAATTTACAATAAGCCTTTTGATTTACAGAAGTCTTTCAAAACTGTACTGTTAAATAGTTGCAATTTTATGAAAAATATTATTCACAATTAGTGGGTTTTTAATGGCAGTATTCTCCATGTGATGTTATGTTTTACAATATTTACAGATCCCCCTGAAAAAGGTAACACCACCGAGGCAGCCAGTGGTACCCAGCCAGTCAGCACCACCCAGTCAGCCAATGGCACCCAGCCAGTCAGCACCACCCAGTCAGCCAATGGCACCCAGCCAGTCACCACCACCAAACCAGCCAATAGCACCCATTCAGCTAACACCACTCAGTCAACCACAACGGCCACTTCAAAACCCCAAACAAGCACGCCATCAAAACCCAATATTACAGTGACCACTGCCAGTACTCCTTCCACCTCTGCTTCAGTTTCTGTAACAGGTATGTGCCTCTGACTGCTCTTTATTTCCTATGGCACACTAACTCGGACTGTCTGTTATCTACATTGTGCTTCAGTGTTTGAAATCTCATTCAAAACAGCTTCAGCTACGTTAGTCTTAGGAAATGGCATGTTTCCAAGCATGTTTTTGGGACTTACAAACAGCAAAGCTTGCTGGATAATCCATTTTCAGGAAATAATTTTATCTGAGTTACATCAGTGTAATTCTTGGAACTTTTCTGGATGGTGTAAATAGGTATAACTGAGAATACACTGATCTCTCAACACTTAAATAAGAGGCAAGCTCATCAAAATATTGTAAGCACCCAGAAGTCAAAAAACCCTTTGATAATGTGACAAGCTTTTTGGAAGTTTTATTTTGGGACTTTCAAATATGTTTAAGGGGGTTTGACATTCAAAGGAAAATTCATATGGGTCAGTTAGGCAACTAACCAGGACTTAAGTGGATTTTAGACACACAAATTGCAAACAGCAAGCCAGAACACTCCCACTCAGGCATCCACAACATTCATTGGGCACTTAAATTTTGGACTGCAAAGTTCCCAAGACATCTAAATTTGGTCTTCCATTCAAACTTGGAAGCAATCCAGACTGAGTAGCTAGGGACTTAACTCCTGCTGACACCTCATTGTGATTCAGCTTTGAAGCATATTGTTACCTAAACTCCCCCTTGTCACTAGGGAGGCTAGATCCGTTGCATGTCCCCAGAGCATGCCTGATGTGTACTAACAGGATTGGTTCAGCTGTAAGTATGGCAGTGACTCAGCTTGTTACCACAGCCCACATAATATCTTCAAGCATTTATCCAGAAAGTAACAGACCTGCGTTCTAAGCCATTTTCAATTGGGGGAGGTTAACTGTACTCAACTCCCCAGCCTCCCAGGAAAATGTCCTAACCACCACCAGGCTGAAGAGTCAGTAAAGAAACCCTCTACCCCTGTTGAACCTGAGTCAGCGTTTAGGCAGGAATGACAGAATCCTAGGGCAGGAAGCGAAGTGAGCAAGAGGCACCTGACTTTTTAACCTAGCGATCACGATCAGCTGAGAAAGAGCAGAAACCAGATCTCCCTCCTTCCAGGTAACAACCATGTACTGGCATGGTGAAACACACTAGCTGACCTAGTAAGCCCCCTATCTTCACCTTCCACCGTTCTTTGTTGACACCAGCAAAGCCAGAAATACTTGTCAGGTTCAGTTAGTTGGTGACTTACAACCTCCAGATGCATGGGAAGGTGGTAAAAAGTATTATGAAGGCTACACAACCTGACCAACTAGCCATGGTTAAGCAGTTAATATTCAGCATCGTAGCCAAAAGATACCCTACTTCTCATTGAAAGGTGAGCAGTTAGATCAAATCTGTTACAGGACTGTTACAGGACTCCACAGTAGGCTAAAGAATTCAATTTCCATATTTCTGTCATTTCTTCCACTTTATTGCTTTTCTCTGACATGGTTATAATTCAGGAAAGTATTTCATCACAAACAACAACTTCCACATTCAGTGGAATTCAAATTCCAAATAGCCTCTTTTCTATGGTAAGTCTCCCATGTGATTGGTTTATGTAACACTATGACTCTGGGTAGATTGCTGGCAACAGGGATTGAATTTGAAATTGCTGGATATAATCATGTGAGATTACAAGGATGGAAAGTTCTAGCTCTGTTAACCAAGACTGTATTACATTTGACAAATGCCACATTGCATGAGTTGTATTCCCCTCAAGGATCATAAAACTTTTAAATGTCAGGGGTACCTTGAAGCTGACTTAACCTACTTTCATTATCATCTTCACCAACACATTGACATTTATTTAAAAAAAAAAAACCCTGGTACCTCAAGTTAGGTGAAGCTGTGTCACATGGGAATTATGCGTTAACCTCAGACAGGAATATATGCTTATCCACATAAGCCTTCTCATGGCAACCATAGATGAATGTAGGCACAAACTGCATCTTTTGACTGGGATTGCTAAATTGGCACAACCAGTCAGGGCTAGAGTTGGCTGGCTGTATAATGTGGGGGATGATATCTGGGGCAGGAATAGGTCTTCATTGGTGGGGTTTCTGATTGCACAAATAACTGAATCTAAAGGTGGGGAAATCCTGTTGCCATGACCCAGAAAGCTAGAAAAGGCTGGTTCTGGGATACAGCAGGGAGCAGCAAAAACTAGAGGAGCAGTTAATTGTAGTACATTAAAAAATATGTGTCACATAATGCTGGAGTCTCTAAGCAAATTCAATTATGATAAATTTGAGATTACTGTTCCCAGATTCCAGCTCTCCCTCAGTGTCTTGGGAAACACCACCTCCACGTGACCAGCTCCTCTGAGTGATGTGGTGTGAGCTGTTGCAGTAAGAATGGCTGTTGATGACACTGGATCACCCCTGCAGAAGGGAGGAAGGCCCCTTATGCCCAGCCTCCTTATTCATTGTAGGTGCAGAAGTTAACCAGAACTTGGCATACTTGGTTTTAGTACCTGGTAGTGTTGACTAGCATTTGACCCAGGGGACTGCATACACTTGTCACCTTAGACCCTCTCATTCACAAGGCATGGCATAAAAGAATCTAGATAGAACCAGATTTGAGGTATATTACAGCAGAATGTACAAGTCTTAAAATCTGCCTTTTTGTTTTCTTCTTTTTGTTACACGCTTCAAAATCTGCAGTTGCACAAGCCAGAGCTTCCAGATTTGATGTGGGCAGCTTTGTAGGTGGTATTGTACTGACACTTGGAATGCTAGCCATTCTCTACATTGGGTGCAAAACATACCACTCCAGAAGAGGCATTCGGTACAGAACCATGTAAGTGAGAGGGTGTTCTCTCGCAGATTTGTTTCTTTGACTTTGGTATATGAAAAGAAAAGAACTGTAATTTCCCCCTCAATAGAGATTTAAAAAATAGTTTACATTCATCTGAGCTGCGTAGAGCCTTCCTGAGTTTCATTTCTCAAAAGATTCTTGTTTACTGCTAAATCTTATTGTCCACAGGGTTTTTTTTGCTGATCTGTTACATAAAGGCCTTGCTTGCGCCTCTGCCCTTGGGCTAGTCTAAGCAGGTTCATTACAGTTTGTTGTCCTTATTTTTCTCCTGAAAGTTTTGACTGAATCTGTAAATTTTGTTCAGCGCCCTCTTTCTTCCACATTTCCATAACAGGATTTCCTTTTTCCTTGGAAAAATCCTGGGCGTTGGGAGTAAACCCTCAAAGCTTTCAAGAATTACCTCCAGTAGACCCCCATGGAATTTCTTACATTTGTTATTGTTCTTTAGGTTAAAACTCTTGTGCCAACAATGCGGCATCTTTTTTGTAGTTATAGACTTTAATATTTACTAGGTGTTCTCAGATTTTATAATTCACTTTCCTGAAGGCTGTTGTCTGAAGAATTTGTCTACATGCATGTATGCACATCCAACCCTATCATTTGCTAGATTTGTAAATATTTTCTGCATACTGCTACCCCGTACCCACTAGCTGCTTGGTTATTAAATATTTATTTATTAACTCTTAGCAGTGGATTCCTGTGGATTCCCTTTGTGTATTAATGGTTTGTTATTTTTTCCCCTTGTTCTTCATTGACTATAGTAAAGTAGCTTCTATCTGCTGTGTTACTGCACTGGATATACAAGCCAGACTATTGGAATTAAATAATTATCTCTGTATTCTTCCCACTTTCTTACATACAGAAAAGCTGGCTAACAAGTCAGTTTTGAATGGGGTTTAGTATTCCATCTGCTTAGCAAAAGATTAATTCTTTTACCTTTTATCACAAAAAAGAATCCCGTTACCCATGCCAACATGGACATACCTTAAGCATAACAGTAGGCGGCCACATTTGAAAATGATTGATTTATAAAGCCAAATTTTCCCCTCTGCAATAAAGGAATTGCATAAATTAATTTTTCAGCATTGAGCTTCCTTCCTGTCTTGCAGTTGGCGCCGGAAGGATCTCCAGATCTTGTGCGCTGACTCAGAATGCAGTTCTTTCCAAAATCTGTGAAGTCAAGTGACTTGTTTTTTTGTCTGTCTTAACTACTGCTTGCTTTACGTGGATTCCAGTTAGTGGAACTGCCCCATCATTTTCCATGTTACTCATCACCGTAACTAGAAGATACTGTGGCCTTATACCAGCCTCATTTGGGACTCGCATCTAATTAGAAGATACTTTGGCCTTACGCCAGCCTCTTTTGGGACTCGCATCTCAAGCTAGGTTTCTCACAGTGCAGTCACTAATTAGGATCATTTTCCTTTTTCATCTTGGGGCTTGTTTCTTAGTTATTCATCTGGTTACTGGATGTTTTTGGCTTCATTTTTGGTAGCATATCTCATTTCATAAGGAAACAGTTGCTACTTTGACTGCACCTTTTTGTTGCATTAAATGTTAGTGGTGCAAGTTAAGAAAATCTTTGTTTTGCTTTTGTTTTTGTTATTTAATCATCAAGCTGTATCATTCACAACTATCCCAACTGCAGTTTCTCCCGAGGGCTCATATCTATTCTAGTCTTAGTTCAAAAATCAGCATCCTTATTCAGGATTTGCCTTTTGTTTCCATTGTTCATCTCAGCTCAAGATGTGTGTTTTGCTTGAGGTGATGTCATTTGACTTGTTGGAACTTGCCTAGTGCTCAGCCACTCGGGTATCTCTCCCTTTTTAAATTTATGTTTAAGTATGGGAACCATCCAGTCTCACCTTCACACCCTCCTTATCAGCAGTGACCCTCCAAATCTCCAGCTGTTCATCCAGCCTCCAACTAAACAAATGCGTAACAGACAACATAATTGACTCATACAATTTGCCCTTTCTCGGGATTTCTAAATGTTCAAAAATCATGTCTCAGTCTCCAAAAAAAAAATCATGAGATTTGAATCTTAAAAATGATGGTATTTAAATATATATGGAGTCCCACTTACAGCTTTAAAGATACTGGCACTAAATGTAGGCAAGGAAAGACATAATACAAATGTGCTCCTTGTCAACTTCTGTAGTAATTTAGCTAACTGAATGACATAAAAACCCTGGAGCAGTTGGTACAGTGACCAGAGGTTGAGCCATTTGATGTTTTCACTTCAGATGTGGGCAAATATTGGAGCTTGGGACTTCCTGACATGGGCTTTTATTAGCAAATAATTTGCCCGGCATTAATTTGGATCTAATTATTCTGAAATGTTTAATACTGTGTTCTTATTTCTTAATGCTACTACCAAAACTTTAATGATTGTATTTCTGTTACAGTGATGAACATGACGCCATCATTTAAAGGTGCTTCACAGCAGACAGCAGGGAAAAAAAAGTTCTCTTTTTGTAAAGGTGATCACAATTCTCCAAAGCTTTTTATGGATCTGATCCTGCGAAGTGCTGAGGGCCTTTTGAACACCCTGAACACTCCCCCACTGGTTTCAAAAAGCGTTGAAAGAACTGAGTGAGCACTTTGTGGGAATAGGCTTTCTACTACAGATGTAATTTTTTTTTTAAATCCTATCAGGAATGTTCCTTAAAGCTGAGGTTAATGCTTTCCAATGTACGCTCATAGAAGCTCTGAGAAAGAAAATCATTAACACAATACATTGTGTGTCGTCAAAATTATGACTCCATTTAATTACTACTTACATCCATAAATGTGGGGTGTTCTACAGGTGGCATATTAGTCTGAATAAATTACAGAGTCCCTTTCAAGACAAAATACAAGTAGGTCCTGGCAGGTAAATACAGAAGCAAGCAACTCCTACTACATTATGTAAAAACAAATTTATTTTTAACTTAAAACTTGACATGAACTTCTGTTAATGGTTTTTGGATCTCAGATTTTAGACTACAAGTGAGCTGTGGAGACTTTCCTGGTGATCTTCAAAATGAAATAAGCCTTGGGAATGGGGTGGAACTATTTTTTTTCTTATAAATAAGAAATAAGGCTAGAAAACCTTTGTAATGTTTTTAATTAGAATTATAAGAACGTAAAAATGCCATATACTTGGGTCAGACCATAGATCCATCAAGCCCAGTATCCTGTCTCACACAGCAGATGCTGATTGGGAGGATGCACAGGGCATGTCCCAAATCTTCTTCCCTCTTTCTCCTCTTCCACTGGAGCGTCCAGCATTCAGAGGTGTAGGCAGTTCTGATTCAGAGGCTGTACACCTATCATCTATATTCAGTATCTACTGACAGACATTTTCTCCAAGAGTTGCTGGTTGATAACCAATTACAGATTGATACATGGCAAGTCACAAAGGTATGTGAGAGATGAAATTGTAAAGGAGAAAACGGTTTCTCTTTTATTGTGAATATGAAGTTTTCCACTGAAAATTGTTCTCTCTTGAACATAAGAAAATCCCCACTGTTTTCATTTGGAAACTCCATGTTGTGTTTCACATGAGGTTTTAGGAATAGTTAAGAGTTACTGTACTTCCAAAAGGAAATACTGAAGCAGAGTGATGTGTAGATGTGCCTCAGAATCGTATGTTAAGGGGTAAAGCTATCTTTTGTTGCCTTCCCACTTACACTGGTGGTGTCTTATTAATTATAATTTACATTGTTTAAGCAGCAGTAGTATGAAGCTTAAGGAAATCCAGATCTGTTCTCCTTGAGACTATTTAAACAGCAATGCGTATTTGTTCAGTTTTAGTCAGCTTTCATTTGTGGCTGGCTCTCCACTGGAAAGTGTTTTGGTGGTGGGAATGTTACTTTAGTGGTTATTTCTGATGATAATCCACCACCTAATGTGCAGTCGAGCAAGATTCATAGGAGAATATATGTGGAGGGTGGCCAGAGACATGCAATGCAGCACTTCAGAGGTCTCGCATTAGTAAAAACTTTAGAAATGTTTTATAGAAATATTTTATTCTTGTTAAGTCTTGCACTTTCCTAAGAGTTGAAAATGGCTTTTTGGGGATTGTTTTTCTATTCCTAAAGAATCTAAATATTTTTTTCCTCTGAGAGAGAGAGAGCCCGCCTTGGCAAACCCTCCCTTATCCAGGTATTTCTTACTCCTGCAATGTCAGACTGTTCCCAGCCTGACACTTACTTTCACATGTGACTTTATTTCTTTTTTAAGCTAGAGAAAAAAAGTTTTAAAGTATTTTAAGTGATTCTTATTTACACTGTTGGGGGGAAATTCATGTCTTTTTCTTTCTTCCTTTCTATTAGCTAAACTACCAATTTGCAAAGCATTATTTTACCACATGTCAGTTCTTACTTTTCCTTTTATAGTACCAGAGTTTTACTGTATTAAGTGCTACTCAGTAGGGTTACTGAGATCCACTGACCTATGTACAGATAAATAATAAAATGAAAATTGTGCTTTAAGTATGAGACTCTCAATGCTGGTTTTTTATTTTATTTTATTAAATGCTGTTACAGTTCCCCCAGAATCAGTTCTACAAAAAATGTTGGCTCAAAATATTAGTTTGTAATATACAAGTGTTTCATAATCCATTTTATATGGAAGAAAACAAAAGGACTGCATGTTTTGGCATAACTCCTGCTGTTTAAAACAGTGTGGGGGGGTTATATTACAGAAAACAATGTTAATGTCTGTTGTCAGATTTAGGAACAGATAATGCAACAGTAAGGAAAAAATTCTTTTAAGATGCTTGTCCTCTACAAAGTAAAAATCATGAGTCCTGCTCATAGCCAGTGTTCAGAGTTTGTATTCTAAAGAAAGTTAAATGGAAATTCAACTGTTAGATGATTAAAGTGATACTAGTAAGATAATGACAACACTTTATCCTGTATTAAATGAGGAGTATACATATAAGCCTCAACCCTACAAGTCCATTCCATGCCTCAGGACACCAGCACCCACATGGGCAGGAGTTTCAGTTCAGCAATGCTCCAGACAAGGACCTGTCCACATGGAAAAACTTGAAGAATCAGAGCTTTCAAATAATTGGCTAAGAAGGTCACCCTATGCCAGCAGTATTCAGATGGTCTCTGGTTATCCAAGAGACACACAGTTAGCTGGTGGCAAAGATAAGATTACACCCATGTTTCCCAACCTGTGCTTAGTCTTCTAGACCAGCGTTTCTCAACCTGTGGGTTGCGATCGAAAAATGGGTCACAAGAATATATGAAACGGTTGCAAACAAACTTTAAAATTGGATTGACAAACTTTAAAAATGGACTCTTCTTTAAAGGAGAAAAATGTGGGAAACTGGCTTTTCCCTTGCAGATCATCAGCATTCCTGCCTGCAAGGGGCTGCTTGGTGGCCCCCATGCCCCCCACACACCCAACCTCTGCCCCACACACTGGGCAGCTGGAGCATGGGGGGCAAGGGGCAACGGGTTGGGAGTGAGGGGTACTGGGTTGGGACTGGCCATCAATGTTTACAAATGGGTCCTGATGCAAAAAAGGTTGAGAACCACTGTTCTAGACTAGTGCTCCTCAAAACTTGATTGTGTTGCCTGCCCCCTGTCTGCTGTCCATTGCCCCATGCAGTTCTGCTGTCCATCTCCCATCCTACCCTCCAACCGTGCCCCATGGTCAGCACCCATCCCCATTTGTTCCTGGTGCCAGGTTGCCCTGCATTGAGGCGAAGCAGCAGAGTTGCAATGCATGGCCCTGCCTCCGAGCAGAAGGAACTACTCTGCAGTACCACAACGCTGCTCTGCGGCAGTTCTGTGGCTTCCTGTGCTAGTTTGCTCATGCAGAGCAACCTGGAGCCAGGACCAATAAGGTTTCTTCAAAAGTGAGCAAGGCCTTCTGCTCCCCTTTTAAGACCTAGCTGGTAATGGCAATACCACTACGTACCATGGGCATAGTAGCCTTGTAGTACTTACATTAGGTATGGAAAACTTGTGTTCAGTGCTTTCCTCAACATTTAGAGTTTTAACCCCATTTGTCCCAGGAAAGTGTCTTAATTACCAAGCTACATGCTGTTCAAGGAGCAGGGGGAAGTTCCTCTGTGCAGACAGACGTGGAGCCCAAAGAAGAACATGACCCTGTACGCTAGAGGTCAGGGCACTTATCTAAGGCTGGGCAAGTTTCAGTCAATGTGACTGGGATGACAATGTGGGATTCAATGTGGCATGATGTGACCTGTAAAATTACTAATTGAAACATGAGAAACGCATTTTTTCCCCCACACTAATGGCTTTGAGCAGCTGATTGAATTCTACTCTCACATGATTTTTACCAATTTACCTTTGGGCTGGGATTTCTTGTTTTCCTTGTTCACAGTACAAAACAAACCTGAAAAAGTAGATGTTCTAATAAAAAGAAGTTTTAAAAACCAACAGCTTAAAACAAACAGGGAACAAGGTCCAAGAGTTTTAATCCAGGTCTCTTAAAACCCTGCACATTTGACTTTCTTGTTATATCCACTGAGAAAAATCACAGCTTTAAAAGTCTGGTCTCCCCCATATAAATACTATGAGCAACTTCCATGCCTACCAGCAGGCAAGACATTCGTTGAGTTACATTACACAGATCTTTACTCTAATTAAAAATCTTTTACGTTCTTTTAGAGAATATTTGCAATTTCAGTTCCCAAATGCTATCACCATACTGAAGTTTATCCTGAACCCAGGTGTTAGGAGTTTTCTTCTAACTGCAACTGTTCATAAAGCTCATGTATTCAATAACTGTGTGCTTTAACAGAGTTCCTACTTCTAAAAAGAGCACAAGGATAAAGCAAGCTAAAGGAAAATTACTAACCTGTAACTTTCCTTCCTTGGATGTGATACAACAGAATTCCCATGTCTGGGTTTTAGTTTCCTAGGGCATGATTTGAAGAATACCACTAACTATTACAATGATGTGTCCTAAACCAGCACCAAAAAATGAATATAAGCCTGGTCTCCAAACAGCAGTTGCATTCCAGCTGATCAGTTTAACCCCTCCTTCCCATTGGCTTATTGTAAAGAATCGACACTGCTAAGGAAGCAAGCCACTTAAGAAAAAAGAAAAAGAATACCCGGCATTTATATACATACTTTTTGTCCTGCAAGGTGCTGGAGAGCCATTGCTTTGGAGCAGACTCGAATCGAGGCTGCTCCATACACGAGCTGAGGCAAACTGCATTGCACTCCACCGCATGCAGTTGTATAAGTGGCAAAATGCGCATCAGTGCACAGAAAATGGCAGTGGTGCACTTTTGAACTACAGCACCTCCAATGTGTTTTAATTCAAAAGCATTTTTCTCAGCACTGACGCACATTTTGCCGCTTATACAACTGCAAGCATTGCAGCACCGGGAGCTTTTCAAAGTGCCCAGTGCTGTGGCACTTGCATGTGTAAAAATGCCCTCAGGCACAACATTTGGCATTTCCTTAATAAATGTGCTC